AACTTGACTATCTTGTTGAGACAAATATACCTGACTTGGCCTGACCTGAACAAAGATTTACCACAAAGAGACAAAGAATTGATTCATTATTCTACCTGTGAATTTCTCTTCTCAGTGGAAGCGATCTTTGTCGACTTAAAATCTCCAACAGTGTTCATAATGAGAGACACTTGGCATGGAGTCTGATGCTAATAGCTGCTGTTATCTTAGTGTTTTCCATCCTATTTTCTTCAATCAGTTTTAGTTCTGCAAGGGTCAAGGGTAGCAAGTTTTTATTTACTTTGTCCTGTTAGTAACCATTTACTATAAGGAAGGAAAACTGAATGTAAAACAAGAAAATTAATTTATAAGGAAAATAATTTAAAGGAAAATATTATGACCTTCTGCTTCACTTATATTTTCTAAAAACAAAGCAAAGGAAAGCAAAACAAAACAAAAAACCCTGAAAAATATGGTGGTAATGATCCTTCAGTCAGTAAAACAAAACATGAAATGTGAAGTCAAAATCATTCAAAAATAGTGACAAGAGTATGGTTGTATAGAAGGTCCATTCCTGAACATTACAGTGATTATGTCCTACTAGTACCTATGAGTAGAAGTCCTTTTTTTGTACTGTTTGATGTTTCACTGTGTCTCCTACTAGAATCCCATCCATAAAATCTCAGGTAAGCCTCTAAAATAGTATTGTGACATCAATAGGTGAACCACTCAGTGATTAGTAAACAGCAAAGGCAAATGTGGTGAGTGATTCCTTTTCTTTGTGCCATTATGGAAGAAATAAAAGTGGTCAAGAGAAAATGAAAGAAGAGAAAAATACAATACAATACAATTTATTCCACATCTTTTATCTTTTGTTTTTAGGGAATGAATTGTAGCACGTGTGTGTGTGTGTGCGTGTGTGTGTGTGTGTGTGTGTGTTCGTGTTTATATAATGTGTAGGTGTATCTATGTGCTTGTAGGTGGATGTGTGCCTGTGTGAATGTGTTAACATTTGGTGTCTTTTTGTTGTTGTTGTCAGTTTTTACGAGACAGGGTTTCTCTGCATTGTTTTGGAGGCTGTCGGTCCAGCCCAGCCTCGAACTCACAGAGATCCGCCTGCCTCTGCCACCCGAGTGCTGGGATTAAAGGCGTATGCCACCACCACCCGGCTACATTTGGTGTCTTCTAACTTCACTATATACCCTCTGAATTTGAGAGAAACTGGCTGGCCAACGAGGGTTTGATATCTACCTCACTCCACTTCCTAATCCATGATTACGGTTACAGATATGTCAGATATTACCAGGATCTTTATTTAAATGTCAGGCAATTGGATTCAAATCCTCAAGTTTCCATGAAGTTAATCAATTGATGCAAACCATATTCCTTTTTATTTTTGATTTGAATAAGGTTTTCATTTTGGAAGCTGTCCACATGAATGATTTGAAAATATAGTCATTCTAAGGCTTCATTGTCCATTTTTCTCTTTTGTATTTATACTAAGCACCCATTGACTGTGCAAAGGTGCATACATCCTCAAACTCAGATTTTCTTCAGGTATAAGTTATTCTATGTGCAGTAACATGGACAGAAATATATGATTATTTTGCCTCTATCTTGTAGCAGCAGCATCAATCAGATTAAAAGCCTCATCAAAGGAAGATTTTCTATAGGTAAATAGCAATCTGGCAGAAAACAGTTTTAATAGGGATTAATATTCTACTGTGACTAAAAACTCCTTGCAGCCAAAATACTCTCAGAAGATGGCATTGTTTACACAACTGTCTGTGAGGAACAGCTGTTTGCCCCTCACAACAGTCAGAGGCACAATAAGCTTGCTGAAACATTGGCAAATCTTAGTCAAGTGTCTGCTGGTTAAAGCTAAAAGTTGCTGCAAGAACAGGTGTGTTTGAGACAAAAATTAAAGCTACAACTGTAAATAGCATTTTAAATAAGGTATAATTTATATACTATACACCATGTATGCATATGAGCATTTAAAACGAGGAGTGATAGTATTTACCAACTACTTGAAGATAAACACAATTGTGAACTCCATGAGGATATGGTTCTAAGTAGTCTGAAGGTGTACAACCAGCATATTTGTGTTGGTCTATCTTAAGTGATTCTGTTATAAAAGGCAGAACTATTAAATATCTCATTTCTGAAATATTTTATTTAATTAAACAGGTTGGGGTTTTTTTGGAATGGATTTTAATTTATTGATACAAATTTATGGTCAATTTTGTGATGTGTATATTTCTCCTCTTTTTTCTCAATATATGTTTTTATTTAAATTAGAAACGTGAATGTTTTAGATAAATAGAAGCTGTGATGTTATTGAAGAACACTGGCCTTGATTCTTAGCTATCATTTTTCTCTTCAAAAAATCCAGGATGCTTCCCTCTGGAGAATCTCACATACTCTTAGCAGAGGAAGAAATATGAGTTGATGTCATCGTATTACATAATAATTGAGAGACACAAAGCCCTAAAGGTGAGCATTTCTTAACACTACAGAAATTTCACTACTAAATTGAGGACAGATTACAAGGTAGTTAAAGGATTTTAGAATTCGAATTGGGGAAGAAAACTGGAAATAACTCAGGCCATAATGACCACTAATGAGTGGTCATTGGCATATTCATGAAATGGAAAAGAATATAGTGGATAGAATGAAACAATTAGAGAGTCATGTATCAAAACATAGAAAATGAAATGGTATAATATCATTTCTATATGTATTAGGTAGAAGATAGATAGATAGACAGACAGACAAACAGATAGACCATAGATAATGCAGAACAGTGGATGCTCAAATAACCTTGAACTTCTGATCTCTTGCCTCTATCTACATAGTGGTTGCATTATGGGTGTATGCCTTCATACCCAACAACCATACTCAGTTTTATAGTACTGAGGATTGAACCCAAGGCTTCTTTCATGCTTGATAGGCACTTGACCAACTGTACTGTGCCCAGTCCCACTAATTCTGATCTGGTTAAAGATGATCAAAATAATAAAATATTATGTTTAAGTACATACATGTTGAAAAAAATCATAAAAGCATTATGAATGGGGATAATACATTGAAAACCAACAATTTTTTTATAGTCATGAATTGGTATAAATGCTTTGAAGCAAAAACTTGTAAAGATATGAGTTATATTTATAATGATTCCCTTAAATCCATCAGACTCTCCAGTCCAATACTCAGGGCTGGAAAGAAGGCTCAGTGGCTAAGAGCACTTACTGCTCTTATAAAAGTTAGGGGTTAAATTCCCACATAATTCAGCTCACAACCATCTGTAATTCCAGTTCCAGTGGATCTGATATACTTTTCTGGCCCCTATGGGTACGGAATGCATGTTGTACAAATACATACACATATAGATAAAATAATTTTTTAAACTTAAGAAACAAAAAAGTCTAAATGTTACATATACTTAGAACATACATATTTAATCAGGGTTGTGTTTATGTATGTTCAAGACCTTTCTATTATTATTAAACTAACCACAGAGAAACATTCAATCTGGGATCCCCAAAGACCAGGGCTGTTTAGCTGTATCTCTGGGACGACATTTAGAAAGTCTGAGGGAAAAAACAATCCAAGAAAAGAGACTTAGAGCCCCCTTTCCCTTTTTCTTCCTACAGTTTCCTTCCAACAGAACAGAAAAGGCTGGGTTCCTCAGCATTAATTTGGAAAATTAAAGTCCCTGTGTGTACTTATACCTCAATTTAAATCTTATGTTGATATTCCTGTGAACCAGGAATCTACTGACATAATTGTTTTCAGTCAAAGTATACATACAAGGCTACTTGTTTATAGGTATAGGGCCTTCAGAATTAAGTTTTTAATAAAATAACAGGTCAAATTGTCATTGAATTGTCTTTCATTATTACACAGAAAGGAGGTGGAGCTTCCAGACTGCAAGGTTAAGGACTGAATTCATTCAAAGACTACTGAAACTCAGCCCAGTATCCTCAGAGCATGCAGCTGAGACCAAGACTGTCAGGACTCTGAGTGCTCACTAATACTGGGGATGAGAAGCAAGTAAGAGAGAGAGGCATACACTCCCCTGACATGGAGAAAGCCCATAGACACTAACTTGTTTGTAAACTTCACATAGAAGACATCCTTACTGGTTCCTTGTTCTGTTAACATTTGACAGGTTTCTGGCAGCTTCCACTAAACACAAAAAAAGTTGATCTATGACAAAGCAAGTGAGTGCCCAGATGCATGCTAGAAGCTAAAGAACTAAGACCTCTAACAGAAAGCCTTGAGGAAGAAATCAAAACTCATCTTGTCTTTTTTAGATATAAAGCTTTTAAGGGTCAACCCCGAACTCACACCTGACCCTCCACACTCACTTGTCTCTGTTCCTCTTCTAGCGCCTGCCTTTCCTGTCTCCCAAACATTTCTCTCTGATGCTAGTGAACCACCTCAGATCCTTTGGAACCCACAGCACCAATTACTCCGCAGTACTTGCGGAAGGAATGTGCCAGCAGCAACCGGGGAGAGATTCATATGTAGAAGTCAGAAAAGCAGGGGAGCGACCTTATCCCTAAATGGCTAAACCAGAAATCCCAATTAGATCAATACTTGCCAATCACCCATTCCTGCAGAGGAAATTGAATCTCACAATTCGGGCTTTCTGTGAATCTCTCCTGCCAAGAAGGAAAAGGCTTTAGACATCAGGTTAGGTCATTGTCAGTCTCTCCATGGGAAAATCCCTCCTTTTAAAGGTTTCGGTCTTCCAACTCCCTTAGGTATCTCTTCAGCAGGTTTGCTCGAAAACCTGATTTAAATGTCAATATCTTGAACCTCATTTGGAAGGAAGGGGTAAGTAGTTATGGATTTAGGTATGCTGGGATGAGTGGGAAGTATAGGGAGAGTGAGAGACAGAGAAAGGGGGAGGGAGGGAGATAGGGAGGGAGGGAGGGAGACAGAGAGAGAGAGAGAGAATATTTTCCCCCTTGCCTCCCCTGTAGATAGCCTAAGTGTACCACAGCAGAAGTCTGCTGGGGACAAGCAAGCGATCAAGGACCCGCCCAGGCCACTCTTATAGGCGAGCGCGGGGCGGGCCCGGCCGGGGGCGGTGCCGCGCAAACAGCTCCTATAAGGAGCTGTCCGCCACCCTGGTGCTGAATCTAGCTCTAGCACCGGAAAGAGGTGCTTTTGGCTGTTGATGGAGCTCCGAGCCAGGAACTGCCCTCGAGTTTGGGTTTGAACCTTTAAGGAAGGGGATCCGGAGGAAGAAGAGGCACACGAAGAAGGCAAGCACAGAAAGGGACTGTTGCAGGAACTGCAAACCTCGGTAGCAGCTCGCAGCTCCGAGGAAGCCCTGACAAGGTTTCTGTAGAGTGTCTGAGAAGCAGGATGGAGTGAAGGAGAACAGTGTCTGTTCAAGGGGGGTGGGAGGGGGTCCGGCCGAGCGGAGAGCGGAGGAGAGAAATCGTAGAGATAGAAAGAAAAAGAGAGAAAAGCCAAGGCTGGTGCCTGCGAATTTGTGATTCGATTGGAAGATCGTTCACTCGGGGAAATGGATTCTGTACCAAGACTGACCAGCATTTTGACTTTGATCCTCTCCGGCTTGTGGCGTTTAGGATTAACAGCTACAAACTGTGAGTACTCGGAGCTGGGGATGGGAAGGTGAGGTGGGATACGATGCTACTTGGAATAAGTATCCGACTGTCTGATACGTTCTGTAGAAAGCTGGGTGAAAACCCTAACTAGTGTGGTTCCACCATTCCAGCCATTCCAAAAGTTAGCAGAGCTCTCACGAGCTTGCTGTGCTGGATTGTCTTCCCTTCTTTTGAATCATAAAGTTCCCTTAGTCTGCTGCCAGCTCCACAGTTCTTAGTCTTAGACAGGACTGCATGGCCCAGGAGCAAGCATTCAGGGGCAGAGATGCTCCAGAGCCACCAAGCTCAGAGACAGCAGCAGACTGCAGCTCCCCTGGATTGCAATGTGCCCCGAACACCTCTTCCCAACCCCCACCCTAAGCACCTGGCTCTCTCCACTGCCTTAAGCAGAAGGTTTCATCTGTAACCAATGTGCATTGGTGTAAGGGGATCGGAAGTTTGGGCCTAAGAATTTAAGCCCAAGAGACCAATGGCTGTCCTTTTGCAATAGGGAAAGCTTTAATACACATACTATCACAAAAAATTCCTGGTGCCAATAAAAGAATAGTGAGTATGCACTATATTGTCCATGTTTCAACTTCACTTAATTTAATAGGCAGGTATTCATGACTCCTAGAGATCTGTCACCATGTATTTAAGGAATCCAGTTTGTCAAACTTGAATAAATTGCTAAAGCTACAAGAGGTTCAAGCTCAATTGCTCACCTGCTTTTCTAGGCAGAAGAAGGGAAGTTTTTCCATCTCTGGGAACTCCTAAATGAGAAAGGGTACAATTAAGCCATCTGTGTTGTTTGCAAGGATGGCATACCATGGTCCCTCAAGTTTCTGGATTTGTTCCTTTATCTTCTCTTCCTGTGATGAACCTCAGAAATATAATACAGTTTGGGGCAATTTTTATTTTACTTTTATAATTTGTATTATCAATATCAGAAAAAAGGCAGGGAGACAAACTACTGAGGATTCCTCTGCTTTATTCCTTAATCCTTAGGGAGGATATTGTCCCAGGATTTGCATCCCAGAGGGAAGACAAGTAGATACATGTTCAAAATAGAGACAGTGTTTCTATGATCCAAATATTGGAAAACTGACAAACCATAGTTGCAATATTTTCTTAAAGTTTGTGTTTTAAAGGGGGCAAACCAGGCTACCCTTTCTAAAGACGAGGGATAAACTAATTATTTGAGAGGGCAGGTTGAGGGAGGCCACCCTCAGTTAGATTGACTTTTCTCTTCTGCTCCCCCTCCCGTTTTTTCTCTTCTTCGTTTTTCTCCTCCCTCCCCCTTGAAATTATTCCCATGGTGCCAGAGAGAAAGACCCAAAAGCCTTAGTCAGGAAGTAAGCTTCACAACTGAGCTAGTTTTTCTACCTTCTGGAACACTAGAGGTCAGTGTTGTTCAAATGATGCAAAGGTGTGGCTCTAAACAGTGTTTTCCTTTTGGCACATTCTGTTATATGGAAAGAATGAATACTGTGACTATCCAATAGGTGGGATGATGGATACTGATGAACTGGTAGAGTGAAGAGCACAAGTGTATGACTTTGGACTCTTAAAGTATCATCTTTCTTGAAAATTCAGAGAAAAAATCTTGGAGCCCTATTTTCTGTAAATTAGCTTAACTGTGGTCAATATATTTTAATAATTGCATAAAACTAAATGGTGTGGGTTTAAGACTTCAGCTTTTCATAGCTAATGCAGTTGCAAAGCGCAAAGCTTGCTCTGAGCATTTCAAAAGAAAGTTGCAGGTAATGATCTGACTTTTGCAAGTGACAGTTCCATCTCCCATTTCCAAGCAGAACAGCAATGACTGAGTGTTTCTTTCTAAATATTCTGGAATCTGTTTCCTTAAGGAATAGCAGTGAGTTTGCTGCACTATGAAAACTGTATCAATTCAGTACACAATAGATTTCTAGCAATCACTGGTCTTGAAATCAATGCATATCAGCTGTCTTCAGAGCCTATAAGGCAAAACCCCTCAAGGCAATCCTGAACATTTCCCAGTTTCTCTAGCCTGCTGTTCATAAATTTTACTCGTCAAGTATAGATACTGGATTTGCTACGGATGTACAGTCTGATCCCATTCACAAACATGCTTTGATGAGTTAGACACTTCCTTCCGAAGAGTTTCCTTTTAATTATATTTGTGGAAATAAATGTTTAAGATTATTTTCCCTACAGTTTAAGGAATATCTGACATTATTGGTAACAAATAGCCTTGAAAACAAATTATTTGCCTGACTTCTTCTACAGTGAATAGTTAGAGGTGTTAAGTTGGAAGTGTACAGTTTCTTAAATAACTTTTACTTGTCTGCTCTCCTTTGCAATGACTTGCTGTTTTTAATATTGTTGTGTAGTATGTGAGTATGCATTTGGATACATGTTGTATTTTCTAATACCCTGTCTGGAACAGAGACATTTATCTCCACGGGGACAAGTGAATGCTTACCTAATTACATAGTCTATGTTTCTAATTAAGCACAATGAAAACAGAGTCAGGTCAGAAGGAGTCTAGCCATAATACAGATATTACAAATCTGTGGTGAGAATGCAATTACCTACCAGTAATAAAGCCTCTTGAAATTTCCCCATTCTAGACTTTCAGGATATTAAACAGCTAGAGTGTTTCCTTTGGGTATATCCTGAGGGAACTGGTTAATTTTGAATATAGATATAATAGACCAATGCAAAAAGACTATTATTGTTCAACCCCTTTGACACAAGAAGCTATGGTGTGACTTGAGACTTGGATTAAATGAGACCAGAAGTTTCTATGAAGTTCTAGTCCCAGTGATGTCTCAACTCAGGTGTCAACTACTTAGTCAGTTATTATCCTTTCCATCTTGTAGTGAAAAACAGTCAACAATTGAGTTACATGTTTACCCCAAATTGTACAGCAGCTAAATGTCTTACTAAGGCTATTTATCTAAGATGAGGCTAAATAAAATATTATCATGACAGAGTATGGTATTCAGAAAACAGAAGGACTGCATGTGACATACACAGTGCAACTATTATTTAATTCTTAAAAACAAACATATTACATAATTATCCATAGCTTTAATTATTCTGAAATAACTTATAATAGTCACCAAGTACCTCCTTGAAATTTGTTCGTACTCATTAAAAGTCTCAGAGATGTGTTATTGTGGTAAGAATTTAAAACTCCTTGTTCTATGTTTTTATTGCATGCATGCTGAATTTCACAAGACCTGTGAGTGTGTGGATCATTATACCAAAGAGATATCAGACCTTGAATTACCTGAGGGCTGTTAAAAAATCAAAATGAAAAGTAATGTGAGCAATGATTTTGCTATTCTTATGCAGCAGGAGAATGACTGTGCAGTGTCTTTTGTGACATCTATAGCTACCACAAGTGAAGGAACCTTGTACTGCTCAATTGGTGGGACCTGGAAGCTTTCTCCATCATCAAACTAGCTCATTTTGACCCTTACTTACCATTCCATTCACATAAGCCCCATTTGTAAAGCTTATTAACACTTTGCAACTATAAAATATAAATTAAGAGCTTGAGGAGGAATTTTAAAACAAAGGAATAGACTTAGGAGATGATTAATGTCTATGGAAACAGCATTCTCCTTCTAAGGAATGGCCAAATTCCTAGTTGTAGTTTTCAGTTTTCTTTGCCTAACTGGATTCATGTTTTCTTTAAGTGAATAACATTACTTTTCTGCATCCATTTATCACAAAATGATGCAATATGACTTAAAGTACTTCCAAATCCATTTGTTGGTTATTCGGTGTCCTTCAACTGTAATCAGAATTGTGATGGAATATGACCTGCATATGATAATTATTCCCAACAATAAGAAAATAGAGAAGGGGTTTAGTTACCTAATAAGGGAAAAGATGATGAGATTCTACTTAAAATTTACGGAGAATTTGCTTTGTATTGATTTGGAAACAATACTAACATATTTAATTTCATAGGAAACCTTTTCATTCAGTAAAAATCTGCCACCTTTGCCTGGTAACCATAACTCTGGTTTGCTGAATTAAGGCCTGGACTTAGATACTAAGAAAATGTTGACTAGTAATGTATTTTCATCATTAAATATTGATGCTACTTATCGGTCATTTCATTTGTGTGTGTGTATGAGATCATTGCACTTAAAACTTGGAGGTAGGTATCATCAGAGTAAGAGTTTAATGTGATTTTAATTCATACTAGTAGGCAGGCAGCATATATCCCTCACTTACTGTGCATACTTTATAAGGCTTCTCAGCAAGACATTAAGTGATCTGGTTCATAGGAATGAATTTCAGGTAAGTAGAACTTAACCATGTCCCCAAGATCACCAATCTAAGCAATGAGAAAAAATCTGAATCTTTAGAAACACGTTGGAAACAAAATATCCTCCAAAGCACTTTCACTAGATACTTTGTGTAGCATCTGCCCGAATTTGGCAAGCTCTCTAAGATCACCCTCATAACCTTAACCTTGGAGAAGGACATGAGCTAGCAGTTTTCAACACACCCAATTCCTGAGTCACACCTGAAAAAAGATGCCAAAAGCATTCAAATCAACACTTGAAGCATAACAGTAAATATAGCATTGTCCAAAGAAAAGCAACTTTATATCTAGGCTTGTATCTGGAGGAAGATTTATTTTTCTTTCGTATTTTTTAATTAAAAGCTTACTAGGGTATGAAGCAAACCTTGAGGAACAATTTAGAATACGCTATTGTGTACACATAAGCACAGGACAATACCATGAATGGCACTTCTGTTTATACTCTATCCCATAATTTCGCCAAAGTCAGAATGGAGTTTGCTGAGGTAGAGCTTATGAAGCCCGGTCATGTGCTGCATGGTGCAAGCCATAATCTGGCTTCATAATAATAATCTAACTCTCATCTCTAGTATTCCTTATAACAAAATATGGACCTCTACATTTCACAAACAAACAAGGATGTCTTGGATTTATTTGTATGGGCTGGTTATTATTTTGGTCTACAATGTCA